TTTATTGGTTCGCTATCTTACACCGTGCTTTCGTGCATATCGCTTGGTAGTAAAGTCAGCAAAAAACTCACTAATGGAGAAGGAAGTTGCTTCTGCCGAAATTTCATAGTAATCAAATCTCTATTCATCCAATTATTCGCCACCTGTACATTGATAAAAAGTTCAAGTGACTTCTTTTTCCAACCCAGAATTTCATACCATTTTCGTTTGGCATCTAAAAATTCTCTTCCGTTAACAAATACAACAATCAAACACATATTTTACTTCTTCCATCCTGACAATGTATGTTTCCTCAGTCCATGACTCCCCAACAATTTATCATATATATCTTCAACAATCTTAGTGAAAGCATGGAACCTACGAGAACTCCTGCGCAATAGCGACTACTATTTAAATATATTTTTAAAAGAAAAATCCTTAGAAATTATTAGATAAATTTTTTTTTTTTGTACAGACAAGAAAATAAACAAATAAAACTGACGCGATTTGCAGGGAACACTAGAAGTTGAAGAGCAGATGTTTAGATTTGTCACGAAAAGACTGCGGCAATTACCCAACTGCACGTATGCTGCCGTCGTGGCCGACAGCGGCCGCTGCTAATGTATCCGCCCAAAGGTTCAGGCAACAATTGTAACTCCATCAGAGTCTCTTAGATTTACTGTAAGCAATCGATGCTACCACCTAGGAAGAACAATTAGAAGGAGAAATGACACTTCCTCAATGAACATGCAAAGAAAAAAAGCAGTTTAATCATCAGACAACCGTTAGCCGAACACCAACAAAGGGCATTTGTAAAACGCTGGCAACCAGAACGAGGACAGTCTCTGACTTGAATGCACTGATTGTAAATCAAGCAAAGATTAGCTCTGAAATCGTCTTCAGCTGAAACTAATTTTTTGTTTGCAAATCTGAACCTTGGTAAAGAACAAAGCTGATTCGTTATCTGTACTTCTGAAGCAGTAATTCTGCTTATAGCCTTGAACACTTATAGCCTTAGGGCTTAAAAATAAGAAAACTGAGAAAAAAAAAATTAAAACTGGAACTTAGCGATGAGCAGTAACCATCTTCAGAGTTTCGATAACACAGAAAAAAGAAATTTTTTCTCCGTAGAAGCTACATTTACTTTTACGCGTTCCAAAAAAAATAGACAATGTGCAAAGTGGTGATATTATTTGTAAAAATTATACCTACAACATCGTCCACCAACAACCTAATAACAAACCTGTCCCTATTTCCCTCCACTAAAGTTATCCATTTAAATTACAATTATGCCAAATTTTTTAGAAGAATTACTTAA